CGACCGCTGCGTGCGCTGGACTCGCACGGAAGCCATGTGACTCAATTATGCGCGTAGCGATCTTTCTTTGCTGTTCAGCCAAATTCGCAGGCACATCGCGATAGTGATAGGTCAGCGATACTCTCTTGTCCTCCACCCAAGCGCCATTCTTTTGCACCGTATCGGAGAGTTCCCTCACCATAGTGGTGTAATGTTTTTGTACGTCGGGTGCCAGCTCGTAGTCGTAACGCGTGCCATCGCCAGTTTCAATTTCCAAGCCATGATTGCCTGCATAAGTGATGCTTTTGATGCCGATACGCGATTGCACATTGCGTAGCCCACGTCCGGAGATGATGGCCAAAAATACTTGCGGGTGCACGGCTAGGTTATTGAGCATTTTTTCAATTTCGACCGTCATGAAAGTTTTGTCGGGATTATCAGCAATGGCTGCCAGTGTGCCATCGTAGTCCAATAGTAAGGCGAGTGGGGTTTTTGCGTTTAAATAACTGTTAAGATTTTTTTTTTTCGGAAAAAAGAGAGAAATTTTTAAGTTAATTTTGATTTTTGCCATACGCAGCACAGCATAACTTAATACGTAACTACTTATGTAGACAGGGAATTCGTTTTTTTTTTTGTTAACGAGTTTTTTCTTCTATCGTTTCTTTATTTATTATTATGCTCTATATTTTCATACATCTGTTTATTATTATGATCTATATAACGGGTGATTTTTTTGAGGTTAGGATTTTCATGCATTAGTATTTGACAGATCACGTGGGATTTCAGACATGGTGTCAAAGAGAAAGATGCAAGCGAAGCCGCCAGTAAACTGGAACAAAGGTAAGTGAAAGATACATACTACATACATACTATATTGCACTAAATTTACGAGCTCTGATTAAACTTCTTTTTGTAACACAGGCGAAGCAGCGTTGCTGATATTGAAGAATAAATTCGGCAGCAATTGGGCTGAAGACATTAAAGTGATATTTGCCGGCGATGACAACACTGATGAGGATGCCATGCGGGTAATTGCACGCATATTAAATTATAGTTTTGTAAATAAAAAATTAGTAAAATACATAACTCTTCTTACCACTCATTTCAGGCGCTGCAAGGCTCTGGTAAATCTTTCCGCATCTCCGCCGATCCTGCAATTCAAACCTACGCTGATTTCCGTTTGCCGCGTCAAGATCTCGTAGAGCAATTGCTGAAATGGATAAGCAAGACCTACTCCAATTAATTACAGTGCTATTTGTTGATTCCAGACAATTTTAGTTTATTAGGAAAATTATAAATCTTAGTATTCATACATACACATTATATGTATTTATGTATATGCGCTTTTTGAAATAATATGAAGTAATGTGCAACTATCAATATTTTGCTGCATTAAGTTATATTTAAATACAAACATATGTAATCGTTAAGTACATAGCAGTGGTAAATAATTGAATTTATATAACAAAACCAGAACTAGCACATACATGCCACTTTAAAAGCCGCTTAGTTAGTATATTAAACCCTACAAGACATTGCTGAGCACTTTAGGCAAAAACTCGCACACATTTACACTTTTGTTTTTGTAGTACGGCATAAATGAGTAGTTTGACTATTAGTACTGAGGACTTTCTGATGACAACATTGAGGGGAAAGTACTCAAATTTTTCCCATGGCCTGAACGAAAATGAGGACTTTGATAAGCACTTTTGTGATTAGGAGTAATGATAATATGAGTACTCATATGATACTCAGCTGTCTTGTAGGGAAAGTTTTGTAAATATGTATACGCACACACAGATAATTTAATTTGATGAAATAGGAAAGACATTATTTGAAAGAAATATATATTAATTAATATATTTTAATAATAAATATGTACATTATGATATAAAAACCGGTATAAATATAAATAGTTCAAACCTTCATCCTTTGCAAGTTACTAGTGAGATTCATGAAAAGTCGCAAAGTAGCATTTTTGGCGAAATGGCAACGTTGTATGAACGACCTATCGCAACTACCGATTGGAAATGTCTACTCTTATGCAGAATATGGACAAATGAACGCATGCCCGACGACTGGAATTTACGTATGCTCTGCCCAATCCACAAGAAATGCGACTCCACGATATGTGGCAACTACCGCGGGATCAGTCGCCTAAGCATAGGTTACAAGGTCTTATCGATCGTATTGTGTGAAGGACTGAAGCCCATTGTCAGCAAATTGATGGGGTCTTATCAGTGCGGCTTTAGACCTGGAAAATGCACCTTAGATCAGGTATTCACAATACGCCAAATCTTGGAAATGACGAGAATGGGATCGACCTATACCATCTATTTTTCATCGACGTCATCATTATTAAGAACCGCGAAGTCAGTTCTGCCTTTTCCAAGTTGATAGGGAAGTAAAGCGATTGGGCCTGGTGGTCAACGAGGACTATACGAAGTATCTTCTGTCATCACACAAAGTAAGCGCATTCGTGACTCGTGGGACGCGATGCTGGTAACAGAGGAAGAGAAAGGCCGCTCTGCGTTGGAAAGACCAGATGGGGAAGGAGTGGGCTTCAGAAGAGAAACGACTGGCGTGCTGTTTTGGCATCGACCAAAATCAATTAGGGGGGTTACAACGCCAATAAAGAAAGAAGAAGAAGAAAAATACATAAAATAATTTTGATCGGTTTTACTATGAAAATACTCCTCTGTTCGTTGATGCATAAGGCAATGGAGCTTTAGTAAGTACCAAGGATAAAAGTATGGACGCCTAATGATTTTCGTGAGATGTCTAGAATTTTTGAAACCGAACCACTCCATATTACCTTTCCTACAAATTGTGGAGGTAATAAGGGAGAATAGCTTTTGCTCTAATCAAAATTTATCAAAATTGCATAGAAATCTTAAAGGCACACGCTTGGGGCAAAATGCAGGTTTCAAGTAGCTAGGACTTACCGTTTATTTTTTGGATTTTTTTTTTTGTTGGAGGTGTTGCTTATTTTCTCCACGTAAAAAAAATTGTCAACATACTTTGTATGGAAAAAATGCGTTGCTCCGTCGACGGAAAAAAATTGCCCAGAATCAATTGCGCTTTATAGGCACTTTAAATTTGCACTTTATTACACTAAGAAAAATTGTATTCGTTTTTTTGAAATTTGTCTAATTTTCCTAATTTTTGTACAATATTTTAAATTCGGACTTACATGGTTCGTGTTAGGGTGCGTTTACACAGAAAGCCGAGTGGCGCCGAGCGAAGCAAGGCGGAACAAAACGAAGCTGCTGGTGTTCACACTGAATGAAGCGAAGCGCAGCTTTTCTTACGGACTGTACTGCAAAGATACCACAAAACTTACAGTCAATGAAAAGCGGCAAAAATATTTGCTCAATTGTATTCAAAAGATTCGTTGTAAAATTCGTTTTGATTTGAATATTTTGATATCTTGTTTGCAGCAGCGTCATGAAACATAAAAATTAAATAGAAAATTCAAAATCAAAAACTGCTTTGCTTTCAGCTCCACGCCTACGAAAAAGCTTGCTGTATGAACACTTTTTTCGCTCGGCTCGGCTCCGCTTTCTGTGGTGAACGTACCCTAAGGCAACGACTTATACTTTCATTAACAAATAATAAATGTTAAATAAACAAAAGAAAAATAGCCAAAACTTATTAAAATGTCCCGTTCTTATTTATATTTTCGCCACCGTGCATATGTATGCATATTTGTATTCCTTGTACAATCTTTATAAGCTCTCTAAACGCTTTTCGATTTTTTTTTTCAAAGAAATACAAATATGTAACTGCATACATACGTACTATTTTTCAAAATGTATTTCAGCAACTTTCACAGCTTTAGCGTTCGCTCAAAAGCTCTTTAAATTTGAAATAAGTGCTACCTATAGAGTTGCCAGAGAATTAGTTGCGGATATGTTTTAGTCAAACATTATACAGTTGCTCAGCTCATTTGGGCTCACTATCCAAGCAAAAGGTCTCCAACAGAGAAGTTGAGGCGCTGGAAGCATCCAACAGTTCAGATAATAGGAAAAAATCTGTATGTGTATGTGAAATATTATTTTGATGCCACTTTGTTATGAATGATTTTTTTCTTGTTCAAGTATACATTCATATACATGTAATATATACTAGAGGGCTGCATGAATTCATTCAAAACGGCTTATGAATTATTCATATACAAAACGAATGAATGATTTTGGCTTAAAATTTTTTTTGTTTTGAATTTGAGTGAATACCTGCTCCGATATATCTGTCGACATTAAAATATTCAAACAAAGTGAAAATAAATTTAATTGAAATAAATGAAAATTTGTTGTATGAATATCCAAAAATATTTTTTCTATGCACATATGTTCCATCATACATTTGTATGTATGTATGTATTGCTGCGCTCCTAAATATTACAAAACGAACAAACTTTTTTGTAGAAAAAAAAAACGTTTACCGCCGCAATGAGTTTGAATGATTTGAATGTTTTCCATTCATTCATTCACATTCTCCCATTTGAAGGTAGAAAATTTAAAACAAAATATATATTCATAACTTACAAAACTTACTTTTTTGCCAACGAGTCCGACGGATATCTAACAGATTTCTGGCAATTTCACTAGCTGGATCCAAACGCTCAGTGTTTTGTATGTCAAGTAAAATATTCAAATCTACTTTACTCTGTTTTGGCTAGAAGTTTGAATGAATTCATGAAGCCCTCTAATATATACCTCCAAACATATGTACATAGGTAAAAAATATGTAGTCCTCAAAATGTCGCAAAAATAAATTTGAAGTGTGGAGGTGGCAAAAGCTCGCTTTTACTTTAGCAGAAAAACACAAAATAAAAATTAGATGTTTAGATATAATTTTTAAATTTAGCATCCATAATCTCTCAGAGTGCGAGAGCGAGCCGTATGATCCCGACGCTCACAAGAATTCTCGCTCAATCAATGAATGCTGAGCATCTGTCGCTGATGACGACGTCATCATGTTTTTGGCCAACTGTTAGGCCAAACAGCATACAATTTTCCAACGTTGCTCATAAATCCATACATATGTATACACATGTACATACATGTACATGTATGTTCACTTGTGCGAGTACAAATTCCTGAGTATGTTTAAATGTGTCTTTCATCCATGGCATCGGATCGTTTGGACCGATTTCGCCTTCGTTCGATATCGTTGACGTTCGCCTGCCGCCTTTTGCTTTAACTTGTGGCCTGCAGAGATTTTTGATCTGTTCAGATTGTGTCAGTAGTATTAAAACGGTCGGTGGGCATTCAGCAAATTTTCCGCTTAACTTGAGTGAAATTTTCTGTTGATTCCATTGTGTTTTAGCCAAAAGTGAAAGTGTAGTTGTAGATACAGAAAAATAAAAAAATAAAAAAAAATGGCTGAACAAAAGAAGGCTCCACTCCTCAAGAAAGAGGAAGACTACGTGAAAGCGCTGGATGGGTAAGCAAGCGAATGCGTGCAACTAACTATCAGCGTGTGACTGTGACGATTTAATTTTTCAAAAAATTTTCTCCTAAAATAAACGCAGTTTCTTCACAAAAGAGGATCAGGTTGCGTTGCTGCTCGACTACGATGGCACCTTGGCTCCCCTAAGCGAAGAACTCTCGGCCATGCCAAAGGATACTGAGATCAATATCAAAAAATTGGCCGCCAACGACAAAGTTTTCATGGTTGTCTTTTCTGGTCGCGACCTGAGCGAAATTAAGAACCACTTGAAATTCCCCAATGTGACCTATGCTGGTAACCATGGTCTCGAAGTAGAGTACCCATCGGGCAAGAAATTCAAGATTGAAATGCCAGAAGAGCTTTTGAAGAAACATCAAGAATTGGTGACCGAGCTGAAAGAAAAGGTAAATGCGTGGGCAGAAATGTGTTGGGAAAAGTGGTGGGATACGTATGTATAGGGGGTAATAAAAATTGGATGTGAAGAGAAAAGAAAAGATTAAAATTTGTGCTACCTTTGTGAACCTTAGTAAGATTTAGTAACTTATACTAGATTTCAACAAAAATGTTCATTGAGTATGCATCCTCTTGGCATTTCTAGATTACATAATTCGTTTGTCATTTTAATGCATAGTGGAAACTCGACATTATACATTTTAGATTTAAAGCAACTTCCAATAACGTCTGTTTGCTTTGCCCCACAGGTGGTTTTGCATGGCGCTTGGGTTGAAGACAAGAAAATCTCTGTGACCTATCACTACAAAGGTGTCAATGACAAATTGAAGGCCAAATTGATCGAAACCGCGAAGGGTCTGATTCAAGGACATGGCTTCCAGCTGATCGAAACACCATACGCTTTGGAGGGCAAACCACGCGTCAACTGGGACAAAGGTGAGTTAAAGAAAAAGAAAGTTATGAACAAGATTTTTGTTTTTCGGAAAATCAATGTGTGGGTGATTAATTCACAGACTAAAATCTGAAAGAATCGATTAACGAATTTACAAATAAATACTATCGAAAGAGTGGACGTAAATTTAGGCAAAAAAATGCAGCTTCAAGTGCAAACAACGTTAATGATAACGATATCTATACCAATTTAAACAAAGATTTATTGTCGGTAAAAATTTAAATAATGGTATCGATATTTATATCGTTTATATTAATAATAACGATAAATATATCGACACCGATATCGATAATTCTAGTAATTATCGATAACAATATCCATCGATAACAATATAAAGGTAGAGATAAATATATCAATAGCAACTTCGATAACATTAGCTGCACAAATGAAAATAAGGAGTATAATTTCGATAACAATGACAACAAAAAAATTATCGATAAGGAGAATAAATCTATAATCATAACAATAAAAATGGCAACAATAAAATTATCGATAGTTATATCGATGCCTAAAAGATACCATACCGATGAAAATTTGATAAAGATAAGCCATTGGTAATAATTAAAATCGATAACTATAACCACAGAGATATCGGAACAGATGAACATTCCGAGCTTTCCTATCAAACCGATAAAACTAATAAAAATACTAAAAACGATATTTATTGCCGATGTCAGTATCGACAACAATGACAACAATAAAATTATCGATAGTCATATCCATGTCAAAATGCTACCAAATCGATGAAAATATGATATAGATTTTAAGTTTTGGTAATAATTGAAATAATATTATCGATAACTATACCAATAGAGATATCGGCAAGATAAAAATTCCGAATATTCTGTAATTTTCTAAGTCACTCGGAAAGTGCGATAAAAATGCTTAAGTCGAGTCTAAACGGTCAAGCTGTTTAATCAAAATAACTTCAATCTACCTGCACCTCAACCCATCACTCTTTTGGTAAAAACTCGTTCTCAGTTGAATTTTCGGCTTAGAAGGTTTGTCGTTAAGTGTCTCTAGTACCTAAAATCTTTTAATTTAACCTTTCTTGCCCAAATATTTTTTGTGCACTTAAGCAGGGAAAAAACAAATCGAAATGAAGTTGATTGGAAATGCCAATTGAAACTCAGCCGTCCACCTTCAAGGCTTTCCATCGCTTCCAATTCAAACATTCTACTATACTGCCATCGCATTTTTATCAAAGCTCCTTTAAAGTTAGTTTAATATCATTATATTAAGCCAAATTTCGATTCAAAAATATTATCTAAATACATACGCCAGAGGTAAAAATATTGCAAAATGCCTCATGAATTTAATTTTTTCACAAACTGTCAATCAGTCACTTTTCTAAAGAAGACGCCGAAATGTTGCTATGTGCGCATGTATCCTATTTAGTAAGTATATTTTAGCAACATTTTCAGAAAATGATTCATAAAATTCTCTTCCGTACGCCTAAGTTTAGGTCCCTCATAAGCAATTATGCATACAATTGCATTTAAATAAAATTTTGAAAACTAATTGTTTCATTGTTGCTAATTAAAAAGCATTACTAAGCAGCTATTTTCAACACAAAAGTACTTTGCAAAAATTTAAGTACAACATTTTAAACAGAAAAAAAATCACCGAAAACACAATCGTTGCTAAGACCCTTAAACAGCTGCCATAATTTGTCACGGCACATAAATAAGCAATCGGTTATGCGATTGGCATACTATGTATAAGAAGCTTTAGGAAAAATTTTAGTTTTATGCTTTGTTTATTTTTTTGCACTACGTATTTTTAAATTTTCTTTTTTTCCTCCTTATTGTTCCCTCATATTTGGCCTGTTTGGCACTCCCACAAATCAATCAGAACTTTGACATTTTTTTTGTTTGTCATTGCCGCCACGCATGCCAGCACCTGTTTACAGCAATTAAAATTTATTTTCTCTGATTTATGCAAATATGCGTTAGAAATCCAAAGGAAGAAATAAGAGAAAATAATATGTATACAAAAATTAAATCGCAAATAATATCGGCCAAAAATTCATTAAATTTAAATTTATTTGTACAAAGTAAGCAAAAGTGTGAATAAATTACTGTGATCGTTTGAGGTAGAACAATAAGAAAAATTAAAAAATTCTGTTTTGCGCCACATAAAAATTTTTTTCGTAGGAAAAACACTTCGCGTGGGTGTGAAAAATGTTGACTTGAAGAAAGAAATGCAAAGGAAAAAAAACAACACAATGATGCCACTTGTCAACAAACACAAAAGCAAAAATATATACTAGGACACTTGAAAAAAGCGATAGTATGGCGGTACAAACATACACATATAAATACATAAATAAAAATACAAATGAATAATAATAATGTTGCTAATGTCGCATAAGCAAAAGTATCGCGAGTAAATTTTTAATTCTTATACTCAAGTCGTGTAAAAAATTTAATTTTTCATAATGAAAAATGAATTATTTGACTCGAAGTACATACATACAAGAACTGGCTTGGTATTAATATTAGGATGGTCCTTAAAATCTCAACATTTAAATTTTACTTGAGGCGCCCCTTCATTTTATTCTGTCTAAAAAAAAAACTAACCGGGTTTGAAAGATTTAAATTTTGACTGAAATTTGAAAAATTTGACATATTATTGAAACTTATTCATATACCAGCTGAGTTACAAAAGCTGGTTAAAATCAAAATTTTGTTAATTTTTTGCGATAAAAAAAGAAATAAATTTTTAAGCCCTGGAAGCGACCCTTAACTTTTTTTTTAATTTTGAAATTTTCGTGGATGCATTTATTTGGACGCATTTATTTAGATTTATTAGATGTAGATATTCTAAGGACCAGCCTAATATATATATATATATACATATACATATACTATATATGTAAGTGTATGTATTCATTCTCACCATATCCGTTGGAAAGAATTTGGCATATTGTTTTCTTTCGATCAGTCTGGCCGGGTCGGCCAGTGGTCGCAACTGCCGCCAATGAATTGTGACTCACAAAAGTCGATATCCCGGGCGAAACGGTGAAATTGACGGGCGCGCTAATATATTTAAATTATAAAAAAAAAATTAAATAACAGAACAGATTGCTCGTGCAAATTCACAAATATGTATTTTTGTGCATATGTATATATATTTAACAATTGTTTGAATGCTAAATTTAAATGTCATAAATATACATTAAATAAATATTAAAGAAATGCAGCAAAAATTAGGTATAAATACTAGAAAATGGCAACACTGAGAGAACTGTGTTGAACTCGTTTACATGCATTCATATCTTTGACATTTTACTAAAACAACTTATCTCTCGAGATAGGCCATGTTCCCATGGAATATTTCGTTGGGCTCCCAAACAATATTTTAACTATTAACTAGCCATAGTATTACCTTAATAGGACCTTTTAATAGGAGCTTAAGAAAATTATTAAATTTTTTATGGGAAATTTATTAGTTTTTAATTCAAAGTCTCAAACCTTCTAAAGTCACTTAAGTTGCTTAATAAAATTCACAACTATACAAATACACACATACATATGCATATAAAATTTAAAGAAATATATATTTTTATTTTTTTTTGTTGAAATGTACTTAACGATTTATTTTCAAAGTGTTCAATACTTAAAACCGTCCTAATTTCAGTCACTCCATAAGCCTATGATTAATAATCTGCTGTTGAAAAAGTATATATACAAAAATTCACTTTGTCAAAATTTTTGACAAAAGACTAATATCTTTCGCAGACATTTTTTACACTCACAGCGTCACCAGAAAGAAGAAAAGAAAAAAGTTTTTCGTTATAATCTTTTATTCTTTTATTTTGTCATAAAAAGTAGTGATAATTGATATGTAAGGAAACGTCCAATTTGACAAATAGCGTGGTCAAAAAGTTGTCTGTGAATTAAGCATAACACGCCGCCGAACGGCAAATGGTTTTAATGAGAAACTATTTGAAAGGCAGAAAGAACAGTCGGAGATTCGCCATTGAATGTTGGTGGGCGATTACTGTTAGAAATTATTTTTTTTGTCTAATTTAGATGTTGCTCAGTTCAGGGATCCAGTCCAGGGATCGAGCCCAGGTACCGCAGAGTGGTAGTACGCACCTCTGACCATTCAGCCACGGCGGCGGCCATATTGAAATACCCAACATTAAAATCAAGCCAGTTTACAATTATTTGTGTGCACAAAGTTTAAAAAGTAGATGGATATTTGATCAACGTGGCGTATGAGTAATACGAAATGTTAATCTGTTTATCTGTACATAGCAGGGTTGTTGCGAATATTCGCATTCGCATTCGCAACCGCGGAGCTACCGCATTAATTTCAACATTCGCATTCGCATTCGCTTTCGCATTCGCAATAATCAATGCGGAACTTTTACGAATGCGAATAATGTGCAAGTGCACCGATAAAACGTGGAAAATAATTATTTATTTTTCATATCCACTTATTTATCTCGCTGTGAGCACAAATTTTTCAAACCAGTCCCAGAAGAAAGTATTAAAAATGAATTACAGAGATTAAATCGAAAAACGCTGATGAAGGTTACAGATTCCCCAAATTCGAAAAAGGCCAAAGGAATGAGAATGAAGAATTCTTTTTAAAAAGCTTTAGAAAAACCTGACACGTCTAGTTTGGCTTGTAAGCGCTCGCCATTATGCTAGATTCTAATTGTTTCTTAAAAATACTTGACATACGCATTCGCATTCGCATCCGCGGATATTAGCTGTTAGATATTCGCATCCGCATTCGCATTCGCATCCGCGGATGTCTAAAATTCCACATTCGCAACATCCCTAGTCCAGACAAAAACCAAATTTTCCTAATTCTGCGATTAGGTTTTGCCTCTTTTTCGCAAATTAATGAGGTCGTCATCGAATTGTGCGGATTACTGTCCAATTCACTGTATTCTTCGAAAAATCAAAGACAGTGACAAAGAAAATTAGAGAAGTGTTAATGTATTTTAGTATTAAAGTGTCAATGT